ATTGGTGGTGGTGGGGTGGGGGGTCAGGGATCCTCCCCCATAAAAATTTTTGAATAAAGTAGATGCCATTTCCTGTATTCTGGTGTGTTTTTTTTTTTTCGGTTTGTTTGACATCTAGTTTTACCTACACAAGTAAACGCTTGATTCAATAATTGTTTTAGAGTTAATGGTAGGGCTGGGCCTATCATATCGTTCAAGATAATACCGATTAAAAAAAAAAACTTGCCCCTGGGAAAATAAATTATATCATGATGTGCGAATTTCATGACGTAAATACATCAATGTTTCCCCTACCATTATACAAGTGGGGCACCCTGCCCCGTTAATAGAACCGAGCACGCTGAACTACCGAACCGAACTGCACCCCTCCACCTGTCCGTACTGGCGTAATGCTAATTAGCTGTGTGCAATACTAGCTAGCTAAAAAGCTAAAAACAAACAACGCGCGGCTCATGTGTTTCTCCACCCAGCTCTAAACGGCGGGTACAAACAGTGCACAGCTCAGCCAATGACCCTTAAACAATTGGTAGACGTTTAAAATCCATCTCTGACTTGTTTAAGTTATAATGCACTATTCGTTAAACAATTGTCCATTCATTTCCACCATATACTTGCACACTATTGTTTCCTATTAATAAATGGATAAATAGATGGACCATCCAATTGGAAACCATAAAAAAATAAGAAAACTCCAATATACAGTAGTGCTATCAATGGATTCTAGTTGTAAGCTGTGTTGCTTTTACCAGGAGAATGAGTCAGGGGAAATTTTCTTGTGAAATTTAGAATCTAGTGGTAGGAATGAAAAAGTCGAGTCCGTATTGAACTACTTTCTCAGTGCACAATGTTTTGGGGTCAGCCTTGAGTCATCTTTGATGCATGCATACCATTTTTCACTGGTACATTTTCATCTTTAAATCACTCCTTGGTCTGCTGCCTTCATACAACTCCACTATGTCTCTGCGTGAGTGCAGCTACAGCGTGCGCTCCCACGACATTATTACCTGCAGTGTTCCCTCAGTGAGGACTGAACTTGGCAAAAGGGCCTTCTCCTAGTCCGCTCCTGTTTCCTGGAATATCTTACAAAAAGACCTGAAGCTCTTGACCTTGACCTCTCTAAAGTGGCTTTAAAGATCTGTTAAGTTCCTGGCAAGAACCAATGCAGACATGTTCCTGTTTTTAGTTTTGTCCCCGAGGCTCAAAGGGAATTAACCTGTCTAAATAAAGGTTGAATGAATATCAGGAAATACAACAAAGAATATAACAATGGATTCAAACAGTTTATTATCAGTTTTGGTTGAACTCAAACATTATGCCAGATCTAAAATCCTAAGTCACAGTGGAAATATTATTTGCAACAAAAGAGTGATTGAGACTATTTCTAATATATATTATACTGGACTTTAACTTCAGTTTAATATCCTGGTGTATGCTCATTAATCCAATAATCCATCATTCAGTTAATGTTCCAAAATATTGTCAACATTATTTGTGATGAAACAACTCAGGAGCATAATGAACGTAAGAATCGATTTCAGGACTTTGATTGCACAGTTCACGGTTGCTTTTTTATGAGAGCAACCATATAGCAATAGCAGCCCAGGCAGAATGGTACATGCAAGATGGAGGACCATCAGTAAAACAATTGATCATCAGTGTGATTGAGCCTACTTATTTTGTTTTTAACCATTTTGGCCAAGTTGTCCTTGGGCTGGTTCGGTGCGGCCATTTTGCCTATAATATTTGATTGTTATGAACTTAGAATCAATTGTTTTAGACTATTCTACCTGGGAACACAACAGTATGCTGCTATGAAACACATCAACAAGATGCTACTTAATACGACAAATCCTGTTGGCAGGACTCGGACTAATGAAGTTCTTCAGATGAAATGTTTTCTTCCAAAAACGAAACTGTCCAGATGACTTAACTTTTTTGTGATTTATTTACCTGGATGATTGAGCCTACTTGCTCGTTTGGTTCATATTTTGAACACAACACACAGTGCCCGTCCGAGATGGACTATTTGTAGTCAAATGCAAAAACAAAACAAATATCTAACAAAGTTAAGTAAGGTCCTCTGAATGGATAAAAATCAACAACAACTTGTTGAAACGTTTCATCTTTATTCCAAGACGTTGTTATTCTGATGAGCTGCAGTAGCCTCAGTCTTAGAAATAGGCCTTATTGTGGATCAACCAGTTTGTTGGCTTGTTGTTCAAACAAAGCATACAATAAAAACTACACTTTATTTCAATTTTTTATTATAGGGAATAAACTTATTTGGGAAATGTGTCTATGACCGTATAGTTTTGCTGGCGTTAAGTTGCATTGTTAAATAGGGTTGTAGGCCTACAGCTCACACAGCACACCCTTTGTTCGTGTATTTCCGGTTTAATGTAATGACGTAATTTTGGCGCCTCTGGCTTTTTTCGTTCCCTTTAAAAACGAGAAAAAAAAACATGTATTATAAACAGACTCTAGCGCAGTAATAAGCCATCTGCTCACCTGCTACGTGTAATTAACCGCCCTTCATTCTCATTGGCTACGTCGTACGTTTGGCTCATTTCTATTGGCCAAAGCTGACGTCAGTCCGCAAGAGCGCGCGAGGAATCTTTAAACTCCCATTGGGAGGAAGGCCCCTTCAGCCAATCGCAATACATGTCGCTTCTCGTTCTGTTATTGGTCAGTGTGGTAACGAGGATTGGGCAGTAAACGTTGCTGCTATTGGCTGTTATTGTCACGTGGTGCCCGGTTCTCGCAGCCCATTGGTTAGCGGATTGATCAGGCGCGATTTTGCAACGCGGGACGAAGCTTCGGTGGGCGCGCACAGGTTAGTTCAAACGAGCCGCTGCAGCTGGGAGTAAACTCTGCCCAGTCCTCTTATCTCTGTAACTTCTGCGGATTACTTTGAAGAGAGGAGCGGACCTCCTTTGTTCCTCGCTGGAAATGAAGGACATATTCACTCCGGACTAAAAAGGCGTGCGCTATTTAGTTTTTCCTCTCCTTTGGACATCTGCGAACTTGCTGTGCGGCCTTTGCGACCAAAGCAGCTTATAAATCTGCTTTCAACTGCACAATGAGCGACTGCAACAAGCAGCACCCGCAGGTCATTTTCTGCAACGACTCGCCTAAAAGGGTTTTGGTTTCTGTCATCAAGACGACCCCGATCAAACCCAGGAAAGCAGAGGCCCTGACGCCTACGAGCCCCGGTTTCAGCGATTTCATGGTCTACCCCTGGAAGTGGGGGGAGAACGCCCACAATGTGAGCCTGAGCCCGGGCTCCGGGAGCGGGGCTGCGTCCCCCACCGGGACGCACACGGCCATGGAGGCGGACCCGGCCTCATCGCCTGACCAGATCAAGGTAGAGCATTTGTTTTTTTATTTTTTACAAAACCTGTAGTAGCTGTGTTCTGTCTGACAGATTCTTAAAGACTGGTTGCTGACAACACATTCTAACCACATGCTTTTAACGCGCATGCGTGCTGGTGTCAACGTCGTCTAAATGAAATAAAACCAAATCGCTTATAGTAATTTCCGCGGTCTGGAAACTGTTCGCGGTGTAAAAGCTTAGCTACAAACTTTCCGTCAACTTTAAAATGACTAAAATGGAGTCATAAAAAAAAAAAAACGCCCGCGCATTGGGGTGTGACGTTCTGGTTTTTAAACCCCGTTCACTTCCTGGTTCAGCAGCAGCTGCTCATACATGACGTGAGGCGCGCGCCAAAAGTAGAACCGGATGTGAAAACGTTACAGGGAAGGACTGATACAGCACGAGCTCATAGGAGGAGACTGTCCACGATATCAATAAACTGCTTACTCTGTATTATATAGAAATGTAATGGAAACACCATTTATAACGTTTTTAGATCATTCTTTCTAGATATCTAGATATTCTTTCTGTTGTGATTGCACCAGAAATTATTTTCCTTTTCAAGGTGACTTATTTATTGCATCATGTGGTACATAAGGTGGAACGACATTGTGTACTCAAGGTCCCAGTTACACCCAAAAATAGCAATATTATTAAGTATAAAAAAGAAACAGTAAATCTAAGATATATGCTAGACACTAATAATGTAATATAACTGTGTATAACAACAGCCTGAACATGAGTCTGTTGTGAGCAGATGTGTATGAGCAGCTTATGGGTAAGAAATCGGCAGCGAGGATAATCAGCGGCATTTCTTTTTTTTAGGATGGTATCCGCAGAGGCCGGCCCCGGGCGGACACGGTTCGAGAGCTCATAAATGAAGGGGAGACTTCATCCAGCCGCATACGATGCAACATCTGTAACCGAGTGTTTCCCAGAGAGAAGTCCCTGCAGGCCCATAAGAGGACACACACAGGTGAGCGGGACAGGTGCATTGCTGACAAGCGCGATCGGTTTGCAACTTTTGCACAATAATAGTCTTTTGATATTTGGGTTTAACAGGGCTGGACTTTATTTCTATAGTTGAATAATGGATAGTGTGTGACGACTGTGTTTAATCTCACAATATCCTTATTAATCTAGGTGAGAGACCCTATTTGTGCGACTACCCAAACTGTGGGAAGGCGTTTGTCCAGAGTGGTCAGCTGAAGACCCACCAGCGGCTGCACACGGGGGAGAAACCTTTCGTCTGCTCAGAGAAAGGTCTGTTTAAAATGCTACTTCTATAAAGTTTAGTTGCTCTCACCAGATCAACTCAGACTTATTTTAACTTGACGTTTTTTTTTCTGTATGGTGCTTTCCTGTAGAGTTAATGATTTCTGTTAAAACCTTGGAAAGTACCTGATAAACACAGCAAGTACAGTCTTCTAATTAAAGCTGTTTTAATGATAGATTAAAAAAAAAAAATGCTTTAAGGATTTTGAGTTAGAGCTAGGCCTGTCACGATAACAAATTTTGCTTGGCGATTAATTGTCCCAAATTGTTGCGATAAACGATATTGTTTGAAATTTGACAATAATTAGTAATTATTGTCAAATTTAAGAAGAAATGTTTGTTAATTTTTGTGTGTAGTACCATTTTTACCACTGAATGATACTATAAGACTGTTTGAACCGAAGGGTGGATAGTGAGGGAGCGAGCAGCGTGTCTCTTTCAGAAAAATGGGAGGAAGGCCCCTTGACGTGACATGGGCTGCCTCTCGTTCCCGTTTTTTCAGTTCTCAAAATGGCAGACGCTCAGTGTGGTTTGAGCTCTTTAGCGTAGCATTTTTCACACAAACTTTTTAATAATAAAATCAGTAAACAAGTTCTCAGCTTCTTTTTGCAGAGAAAAACAACGTTTTACACGAAGGCACGAGTTTCAACTGTAAATTTTGGAGCTTTGACAAGACAGTTTTTTTCCCCGAGGTCGGCCTGTTAGCTTAGCTCGTAGCTTAGCTGCAAAAATGGTTAAATCATGTCATCTGGACCTGTTTCTTTAAGTGAAGAAGCGTTAACAAAAACTTTTTTTTTTTTTTTTTCTCAGCTTAGCTGCTTTTAACGATCCAAAAACGCAATTCTGGATGGTTAAAACAAATTTTAAAGCGACAAGAGAAAGGGAGGCGTCAGTGAAGAGCACCGGAGTCGAGCTTTTTCCTCATTCCGTGCCCAATAGAAAGAGAGCGACACGAATAAGCGATAAATGAAAACGAAGTCGATAATTTTCATTCGTCGTGCGATTAATTGATTTATCGCGACAGGCCTAGACAGAACCAAACATTGCTTTCTATGGATCAAAAGAAGTGGTTTTGTATAGTTTTACTGTATTCGTGCTCGTTTCTGTGCAGGATGTGGCAGTCGGTTCACACATGCCAACCGTCACTGCCCCAAGCACCCTTTCTCCCGTCTGAACCGAGAAGAACCAAAGGATGGCCCGGGCAAGGCTCAGTCTGTGGACAACAAGGCTGTGGCAGAGTGGCTGGCAAAGTGAGTTAAGCTGGATCGAGCAAATAAAATAAAAAATGTCCCCCCAGATTATGTTCTGTATTAAAGTCCTTTCTGTCCTTTCAGGTACTGGCAAACCCGGGAGCAGCGTGCCCCCACAACCACCAAGGTGAAGTCGCAGAACAAGATGAGGGCCGAGGACCAGGAGCAGCAGGATCCCATGGAGTTCCTGCAGTCTGACGAGGAGGAGGAGGAGGCCACAGAGGAGGAGAAGAGCAGTCAGGGGGCCAAGCGGCGCCTTCAGGAGCAGCGCGAGCGACTTCACGGTGCTCTGGCCCTCATCGAGCTGGCCAACAACCTGTCTGCCTAAAACCCCCTCCGTCCTTCAAGTCTCCATCTTTAACTCGCCTTCCTGCTGTAGCTGAAAGTTCTTCATAAACGCAGATCGACTAGTTTATCTTCCTCCGTCACGTTGTGAAACGGACTTGGAGCAAACGAGATCAGTGTTCACACGGAGCCGTGCGCAGCAGCACCAGGAAAGGCACAAGCACCTTATTCAGCTTCCATTTTATCCTCCCAGCTGCTATATTTGTAGGTCTGACAATATGAAGAATGTTTTGCTTTCCTCTTGTCTTTTAAAGACAAAGAAAGAACTTTTTTTTTTTATTATTATTTTGTTTGCACTTTGGTAACGAGTTGGTTTCTTTTTTAAGTATGTTTATAAGAGTGTATAAGTGATGTATAAAATATGGATTAAGCTCAGACGGACAGGGTGTGGTCAGAGGTAGAAGTGTTGCAACCATCACGTGTTTCATCTCCGGCAAATTAAAGAGGATTTCTTTAACGTCATCGCAGCAGTGATGAGGGTAAAGACGCCTGATGTAAGTGTTTGGTCACGATGAAGCTTTTTAAAAATTTCTACAATTTTGCCATTTTTTTTAAAGGCCCAGTCAAGCAGTTGTTTGTCTTGGATTGGATTCATGTTAGACTCACAGCCCAGAAGGCGTTCCATTTGTCTTTTATATTAAAAGGCAACACATCAGATTGGACGCTGACATATTTCAGTTTAAGTCACAATATTTATTTTATTATATTTCCATTCATATGTCATCAGACTTGAATCATTCTGTAAAGCGAGCACGTGACAAATTGACTTAAAGTTCGGAAATATAACAACCTTTTGATTAAACGCCAACTAGAAAGTCTTGGATTAAGATTGCAGTGCAGTAAATGTTAGATTAGGGCTATTCAACTGGCGGTCCCCGGGCCACTTGTGGCCCACGGGGGACTTCAGTCCGGCCCACTAATAAGTTCATTTAAATAAAAAAAAAACATTTTTAGGTTTTGGGTTCTGTTTATTGCATTTTTGATTCAATGCAGTAAAACAAGTTTTAAAAGGTAAAATATTATTGTAATTCTTGATTTATTTACACGATGACTTTAATTGCTGGATGTCCGGCCCCTGAGCTGCTGGCTTTCACAAACTGGCCCCGTAATGGAAAAAAAGTGTACTTTTTTTTTTTTTTTTTAAACCAACTGACATATAGTGCTGGGAGTTTGGTTTGCGTTTCTTTTTAAAATATACTTTTAAATTCAACACTACATTTTCAACACTGTACAAAGCTCCTCGCAGGTGTTTTGCCTCTGGTTGGGAGAAATTTCACTCGGCCAGTTCGATCTGATTTAGAAATGAGCCACTGGGGCCACTAACAAATTGGTGATAATCAGAGGGCTTACAAAAAAAAAAAAATTATGTCTCATATTAGTGTATTTAACCCAACAGTCCATTTTGTGGTTTTATGGAAATTATGGCATTTAATATATAAGTAGTGTTTGTAGAAAATTTAAGCGCGCGCACTATTTACAGAACGCTTTGACGTTTTAGGGTTTTAATTTGCTTCTAACATCCTCCAGCAGCTTCTTTGTTCACGTTAGAGTTCATAGTGTGATCCTGTTTGCTGGTAGACAACTTTTTTTATTTTTTTTTATCACCCATTCTTTTTAAACCGAGGTTTCTCTGACAGGCTGTCCACTGTTTTATTGTTGATCATCAATAAACTGAAATTCACTGAATCTGAACCAGAGCCTGTTCTCGTTTTTTTCCCACAGGTTTGGAATCAAGTAGCATCACATGAATTCACAGAGAATACATTTATTTATGCTTTTTTTAATGCATAAAGACAAACTGAACACAATGCTTCAATATGAAGCAGAATGGCGCCACCTGGTGGTGGCTCAGTCTTTCCTGGACTCTTCAGTAATGTGAACTTTCACCTCTTGCAGTCCTGCATTACTTGCAGGTGTTTTGTTGCTAAAGGTGAGATATGAATAAACCAGTCCACCGGACATACTGTAAAGAAAAGAGATACAATACATATGAATGTTTCTGCTTAGAAGCTAATAAAAATTGCTCCACTCAAAACCAGCTGCCACTTTTGAATAATTAAAAACTGCATTAATTGCCCGTCAGAGCAGGATTAACAGGAAATGCTAGACAAAATGTTCAACTACGTAAACCGGAGTCGAGAAGTTTATACCAAATGCTGAGGCCAAGGAAGTTTTTCCAAGAGAAAATATAATCTCCACCCACGAAGATGCCAACATAAGCTACAGCAACATTCTGAAACATAAAAAATTACAGACATGTTAGTAAAATCTTAAACCTGTGTGTATGTTGCTTAGCAAATAATTAAAAAAAAAATAATCAACTTGGCATTTAGTCCACTGGGGTGAGCTAAAAACACATAACTCCCAACATAAACTGTTGGAAAATGTAGTTTTAAAGCTACACTTTTAAAAAGTATTCAGTACTTGCCGCTTTAAACCACTTTAAATTTAAAACTAGAACTTAATTTAACTCTCAACGTGAACAATGTTTCGGAGAAAGAACAAAAGTTGACTCATTTTGGTGGAGAAATAGTTTTAAATTGTTGTAGATCCAAAACATTAAAAGCCTCAAACACTAAGCTTATATTTTTTATTAAAAGTAATTTAATTTATTTGATTTGTTGGGTCGTTTTCTTGTGTTTGGAAAGTTAATTTTAGTCTGTTCTCAGCAACAAAAGCGTAATTAGAGTAAGTGTCTGTTTAAAAGTGGGTCGATCAAGCTTTTAAGCTTTTTTTGGACCAAGGACGGTTCAAAAGACCGATCCAAGTTCTGAAAAACCGTCCAGCTGTCAGTCGCTACAACAGATTCATAGAAGGTTTGATAAAGTTCAGATGTAGATGATACCACATTATATTAACTTAAAAATGTCCCTCTTGATCATTTCATCAACTGCAATAGTTAAGTTTTATAAGTCGTTATCTAAAAGTCTCCTTTCTGGTAGAAATCAGGTTTTTGTTGCTATGACGTGAAAATATTACAGTCAAAGATTTGTACTTTGTTTAATATTGCTAGTTTTGATAAGATTGTTTTTCATCCGTTTTGCTGTTAAAGCTAAACATTATATAAAAATAGATTACCAACTAATCTGCAGAAAGTCTGCATCGACCTCTGAAACCTGCTGGTCAAAATGATACCATTCTTAAACTGCAGCTGTGGGCCGAACAAAATCACCGCAAGGGCCACAAATGGCCCTCGGGCCACAAATGGCCCTCGGGCCACAAATGGCCCTCGGGTCACACTTTGGACTCTCGTTTCCTAAGCTAAGTATGTTGCCACTCGCGCTGCATTTCAGCATTTTAGCCAAAGATCGTGCACGAGCTCTTAGTGCTCAGAGTATGTGATGGAGAGGATCAGCAGCTACTACCACAACAAAAGTGGACGCTCAATATCTGTTAAAACGACTTGAGTTATAGGCATGTTTGCGTTTGCTAAGGTTCTTCGGCTGTGGTGGGCAGCTTGAAAGATGCTGACATAAAAGTAATAAAAATCAGTAGTAGATGTACATCCAATGATTACTTTCTGAGATTTTCATTAAAACTCATCCAGCTGGTTCATGAGATATTTTGTTAGACAGACACAGGCTCATACATGATCGCCTACCCTTTTTTAATTTTCAACCAAGAAGAACCCATCCAGATGACCTGACTTAATTTTTTGGATTTATTTGTACAAGTACCTCTCATTGAGTCACGAGGATTCAATTTTCAAGAAACCTGTTGAGCTAGGGCACCCAGGGGAGCAGAAGTTTGTGGTTAAGTGCCTTGCTTAAGGGCCCAGAGTGGAGCAAATGAGGGTGGAGGCAGGTGTGTTTCACCTTTCCCACCCACATTTTGATGTTGTCTGTTCAGAGAATTGAACCGGCGACATTCCGATCACAGGTCCACCTTCTCTAACCTCTGGGCCACCACTCCTTTCATGATGGCAAGTGATTATACAGATTAGAACAAAGTCCGGCTGCTTGACAGCAAAGTTTGAAGCAATTATAGTTTAGGAATTTTATACAGCAGTGTTTGTAAATTAGTGCCGTACTATCCAATAATTCTCAGTCAGGTCATCTGGACAGTTTCTTTTTTTTTTTATATAGAGACGTTTCGCCCTCTATCCAGAGGGCTTCATCAACCTGAGGAGCTCCAGTAAACTGTTTCCCCACCAAGCAGTAAACTCCTTAAGTGGACCAACCAGTTTGCTGGAGCCAAGATGGTTTCTGGGGGCTGTCCCGTCCCTCGTCAACTCCTCCCAGGCAGACAGCCACAACCAAAGTGGTTCAAGGCAACGAAGTTCATGCTCAATCATCCAGGTATCAAATCCAATAATTCTTAGTCAGGTCATCTGGACAGTTTCTTTTTTTTTTTTTTTATATAGAGACGTTTCGCCCTCTATCCGGAGGGCTTCATCAGGCTGCCTGCCTGGGAGGAGTCAACAGGGGACAGGACGGCCCCCAGAAACCATCTTAGCTCCAGCAAACTGGTTGGTCCACTTAAGGAGTTCACTGTTTGGTGGGAAAACAGTTATTGGAACTCCTCAGACTGATGAAGCCCTCCGGATGGAGGGCAAAACGTCTCTATAAAAAAAATAAAAAAAAAAACTGTCCAGATGACCTGATTGAGAATTACTGGATTTGGTACTTGGATGATTGAGCATGAACTTAAGTGCCGTACTAGTTCAAATATAAGCAACAGTAGTTACTGTATACTGTATAATAAATGCAGTTAGCATCTTTTAATGGCCTTTGTTTGGCTGAGTAGAAACAGTGTGATGGTTATTACACAGATCTGTCAGGAATGACTCGTGTAAACACGGCTCTTATCAGTCTAAGCTCCTACCTTTATGGCCCCGACTACTGTGGTGGTGAGCGCTGAGTTATAATAGCTGCACAGAATAATGGAGTACATCAAAACAAACCTGGAATGACAAGTTAAAAAAAAAAAATCAGTGTGAATCAATTACCATAAAAGTATTCTTTGCAACAAACTGAACGGAAAAGAGATTATTACTGACCCCATGAAGCAGGACATGAGGAAACAGAAGAGAAATGTGCCTTTGGTCCAGCCATTAAACATGGCCGCCTGTGGGTGAAAACACAAGGTTGCTTGAATGGCGGGAATGTTCAGCTTCAGAGCACAAACACAACCCGTCACACGTACCTTGTGTAAATCTCCAGTAGCTGCACTCGCCAAGAGAGTGGGGAAGACGATGATGAAGGAGTTGTAAAATAAGACGCCGTATTTCCCAAGTTCCTGACGGCACACGGAGATAAATAAATAAAAGTTTTAGCATTCCTTAAATGATTACTTGGTCCTACGAGTGTGTTGTGACTTTCTGCTGCTCACAGTTCAATACTTAAAATAACAAGAGCTGTGGCCTCTATTGTGCTCGCCGCTGTCGATTAGCTGTTGCAGCCATCTTGAATTGGACTGGCTCTAAAAGTTGATTGTAGATGTACATGCAATTATTAGGTTTTGAATATTAAAATCTATCCGTTTGTTAGCGAGATGTTTTGCTAAAAGACAAACGGGGTCGACTTCAACAGTTAATGCTTAAAATGTTTAATATACAATATTGCTTGGAGTGCGCTGTGTGAATGACTCAGTTGCCACCACACTGAATTTTAGCTCAATATTTGTAAAACTGACTGAATTATGGGCATTTTGTGTTTTTGAAGTTCAGCTGGCTGTGACAGCCATCTTGAATAAGACTTGCTCCAAAAGTTATTATTTTGTAGCTGAAGATCCATTGAGTATCTCAAAAGTTTCATTAAAATCCATCCAGCGGTTCATGAGATATTTTGCTAACAGACGGACAAAGCTGACTCCAGATAGTCAATAGCACATTGTGAATAAATATATTTTGCAATCTGTTAACATTCAGAATATGTGTTGGAGATCAGTCTGAGCTACTGACTTCCCAGATTTTAGGTTGATATCCAACAGAATGACAGAGTTATAGCTGTTTTTAAAGGTCCAGAGGTTTGAGATATTTTGCTAACAGTCACATAGACACCAGCCACAAACATCATTGCCATTCTGCTTTTGGCAGTGGTGATAATCAGTGGTAAAACGGACATGTTTTGTTTTTCACATTTTTCCTTGCAAATGTCAAACGTGTCGATAAGAGCTGTAAAATCCTAACGTTGCTCAGAAAGTGAATCCAGTCGCTGCGTCTTTGCGTCCAGGGCTCGCGATTATAGCGCTGCCGTCATTTCGATTCGTTTTAAAAGCTGACGAACTTGAACAGGTGTGCAAACCAAAGCCAGCACCTGAAAATCCCTAACATTTTACAAATACCGTAGTTTTCGGACTATAAGGCGCAACATCAACGAGCGGGTCTGTTTTCATACATAAGGCGCACTGGATTATAAGGATCGCTGTCGATTTTTGAGAAAATTAAAAAGGATTTTTAAGTGCACCTTATAGTCCGAAAAACACAATATTAAACAATTTCCAGAGAGTTGAAAACACGTTAAAGTTTCTTCATCTTCCTCTGGACAAACGTGCAGCACTGTAACGTTCCTTTTAAGCGACGCGTGCGTTTATGTGTAACGGGCGGAGCTTCCACCTGATCGCCCAGCTTCTTCTTGGTGTAAACACCACTGGCTGCGGTGAAGGCGTCGTTTAGCAGAATGAAGGTGTAGCCCTCCACATCGAAGGCCAGGTCAGAACTAACAAGGGAGATGGAGATGAAGGAAAACTTATTCTGTCTGCTGTAAACGAGTCTGTTCAAACGAATGATTCATTTAAAAAATATATATATATTCTGTACCTTGCAGCCACCACAGCACCAAAAACTATAGCCACCACACAGTAAACAATATGCTTCGGGAAGGTTTTTCTGAAAAAGAGAAATAATCCGGTTTAACAGCCTTGAAACACAAATTATAAAGGTGAGCAGGAACACCCAGCTTGTTCATATTATATATATTTAATAAAAACAAATGTTGAGCAGAAATCAAATACATTAAGACACAATATATATCATCACCAAATAATAAATAAGTACAAAAACGTACTTAACTAGTAGCCTATATAAGGATTGGGTTGTAGATAAACATAATAAATATTAATTTAAAAAAGGCACACCCCTTTTATCTGCAAGACGTTCATAAACATTACAACCCCCTGAAAGGAGCTAAAGAGGAACAGAGAGGAAAAAACAGAATTTTATCTATAAATGCATAAAACGTAGCACAGGGATGTTCTGCACTTTGAGTCGTGAGTAATCGAGTAGTTTTACCGCGTCATCACTTCACGATGTAACTGACATTAGAGGTAGAATGAGGTACGAGATATTTAATAGTCTTTTTTTCCTGTATGTGGATGATCAAAGTGTGAGTTTTAGAAGTTACAGTGCTGATAATGTCACAAGTCTGATGTGACCTGCATGTTTGAATTTGAAGGCCGGACAGTAAATTCATTAAATCAGAGGTTTGCAAACTTTTTAGCTTGTGACTGCCCATTCAGTCATATAAACATGGGCATAATGAGAACACAAACGGCATTTTAAGAACCACTTAAAACCATAATCAAACATTTAGGACTACTAAAAAAATTCAAGTTAAGTCCTCTGGATGGGTTCAATAAAAAATAAATACATTGTAGAAACGTTTCGTCTTTCATCCAAAAGACTTCTTCAGGCTGAGGAGCCGTACTAAGCTCAGTCACCTTCTCGTAGTGGATCAACCAGTTTGTTGTTGACATTCAAAACTATCTGTTCACATGACAATCAGTCTAACAATGGCTTGTTAGTGCCATGATGGCTGCTTGCCATTCACAGGGATACTAGTGATAGCAGCTTTGTACGAGGGGGACAGTTGAACACGGAGGCCTCCGCCCGTTTAATGATGGGCGGTTTCTCTTCACAAAGATGGCCTCCTTTACTCCTCTCTCAAACCATTGTTCCTCCGATACCAATACAGATTATTTTTTCCCTACACCTACTTACAGAGACTACATAGTTTTCTCCGTTGTGGAATTAAAATACTACATTATTCTGCACGGTCTTTGTCAGTTTGGCCTGCTGCAAAATGCAGATGCCAAAAAGGGGTCTGAAAATGATGCAACACTTTAACTTGGATTAAGTTTCATGTCAAATGTATTCATGACATTTACTCTCTCTAACACAACGACAACACTTGAAATTTGTAAATTTTCACAAATCTAAACTCAACCTGTTCACAAGTGAAGTGCATAAGTAGTAGTGCATTAATAGATGGTAAATGGACTGTATTTATGTATTTATATAGCACCTTTCTGTCTGATCAAGACACTCAAAGCACTTTACTACAATCTGTGCCTCATTAACCCATTCATACACTCTACTAGATCTCTACAAAGCTAATTGAACAAATTATTCTAAAGAGACTAATCAGTGCTTTATCACATTCACACACCGATGGGACACATCAGAGGCAATGAGGGAGTTCAGTGTCTTGCCCAGGGACACTTCGGCATGTGACTGCTGGTGGATTCGAACCCCCAACTCCTGCACTGGAGGACGACTGCTCTAACCACTCAGTCACAGCCGCCCATAAGATCTACTTGACAATTTAAGTTAAAAATTAACTTAAAACAGAAGCCGTGTTTTTACTATCTTAATGATCAACTCAAATCTATGAATTCTGCTACGTGCCAAGAAAATCACATGTGCAAAAAATATTGTCAGCTTTGTTCCTTTGTCAGAACATAGCCCTCTTATTTAGGCTTATTTGCTACAAAAATTGTGGAACAGAGCATGGGAAGTTCAAACAAGCCTTTTATATCAGCGAGTTATTTTTGATGGAATGACCCAAGTCCGATATTTAACTTTATCGCTAATATCAGCCGATACCATGCTGATAATATCGTACATCCCTACTGGAGATGAGTGTAGACCGCAGAGTCCTGGCCTGATGATGTTGCTCTTCTGTGCTGGACCATCCTTTTGGCCAGTGGCTGGTTAGTTTCCCCGATGTAAGACTGATCACAGCCCTGACACTGAACAGCATTCACAATATTACTCTGTTTGTGCCGGGGGGACTGGATCTTTGGAGCCTGTTTTGAATATCAACAACAAACTGGTTGATCCACTATGAGAAGGCGCTATTTATAAGACTGAGCTGAATACAGCTCCTCAGACTGAAGAAGTCTTTCAGATGAAAAGTTTCTACAATTTTTTATAAATGTTTTTATTGAACCCATCCAGAGGACCTGATTTAACCGTTGTAGATTTTTCTACCTGGATTTTTGAGCATGCATCAGGAAATTTAAGGACTACTGTTGTTATTCTGTGTGACGATGATGGTGAGAAATAAATGCAATCGTTTTAAAACTCATGATATTCTGAGATCATCCAAGGACCTCCACCTGATGTTTCACGACTCACAGTGGAGTCCTGACCCCAACTTTATGAACCGCTGTGCATACAGTTAGACTGATCAGAGATGACTGACCTGAGTATGTACGCTTCCAACATCATCGTCATCAGTATGGTGAACTTCCGTAGGACTGTAAACATGGGTAAACTGTGGAGGACGTGTTTAAAGATGAGTGATTTTAAACAAATCGGAGCCCATAAATTCTACAATCAGCTGGTTAAAACCTGAGTTTTTTGGTGCTCGCCAGTCCGGTTACATGGTTCCCAACATACAGCAAAGGAAGAGGGAAAATCTGCCAAAAACCAGTAAAGAATAAAACAAGAAACCAAACAGCTGCTACTTCTGAGTGAGTGAGCTCACCTTTAGCAGAATGCTTCTGTCAAAGTCTGGAAAGTGCACCAGTCGGCTCATTTTGGCCAAATAAAGGACAACAATGGTGGTGAACATCTGGAAGGAGCAGGAAAAACATGCGATTGATGGATTTAACGTGGAAATAAAAACCAAATGAACTCACCTGTCCAACCCCCAGACACAGGTAGGAGGGAAATCTGCAACACATCAACAGAAACAAACGGAAGTTTGGACCCAGGACTCTATGCGTGCGTGTAGCGGAGCTCTCACCTGAAGCTCGTGAGCACGGTTTTGTTCACCACGGTGATGAGAAACGAACTGCCGGCGTAAAACAGCGCGGACAGCAGCTTGAGGAAGGCGGGGTGCTCCGCGGTCTGCTCCACAGACATGGTTCAAACACTTTTCAGGCCGTTCCTCTCCTCCACAGTGAACTCACCTGCTCCTGTCACGCATTTCCTGGAAAACATTTGGTCCCACCGGCGAGGAGGCGACAGGTGGGCGGTCCTCGGTGCGTTATGTAATCCAGAGGGTGGACCTCTGCAAACTACTCAGAAAAACACATTCTGCCCACATGTGGCGCGCACGTTTTCTGTAACGCAAGTCAAAAGTGTTTTGATAAAAGTGCACAAATTGAAAGTAAAGCGAAAAGAGGAGCAACGGTAAGCGCGAGGGGCAAGGGCGGTTCTAGAATCTAAAACTTTCAAGGGTGCCTATAGCCCCCCCCCCCCCCCCCCCCCCGTTTTGACTATTGGCTTGAACAGCGCAGTGGCGTAAAAAACTTTTGCAATGTCGGGGGGATACACTGGTGGGGGGGTCTGGGGGTCCTCTACCATACAATTTTGATTAAAGTATTCATTCAACCTTTATTTATACAGGTTAGTCTCACTGAGCGTCGAGGACAAATTTACAAGAGAGACCAGATTTTTTTAACAAAAAATTATGACAAAAGTAGACAATCTTAAAATAAAGCATATACATTGGGAAAAAAAAAAAAAAGAATGTAGATGCTATTTCCTGCAGTCTGGTGTATTTTCACAGGATGTTAAACATCTATGTTTACCTACATAAGTAAACACTTGATTCAATAACTATTTTAGAGAGCAATAAGTAGCCTGACTAACAGCTCTCCTTGTGCGAAAAGAGCACGCTCCGCTTCTCTCACAGATCCTAACACCCCCATTCCAACTCCAGTCAACAACTGCTGACAACTGTGTTGCGGTGCACAATACAGAGGCGCTAGCTAAAGATGTAGCACTCCGCCTCTCTCACGCAACACCCCCTCCCCCAGTGTTGCCAGAAATCAAGATAGAAACAAGCAACCTTTATGAAAACAAGCCCAACTGGCAACCCACCACATTGTGTAAAACAGACCATTTTTAAACAGTATAAACATACATTTAATATGGTATTACACATAAACAACATCAAAATTATGATAAACACTTTGAATAACATATTTTAAGCTCTGATAAAAAAATATACATTTTGCATATGTATTTTTTTTTCTACATATTTTTAAAAACAAAACATCCTGACTTCTTCGTGTGAGTGGAGCCCCCTAGTGGTCGGCCACAATGTGAGTGTTTGGAGTGTGTGCCCACAGATGTATTTGTATATGTCTGTGTATTTTTATGTGTATGCCTGTCACCTAGCCAATTTGGGCGGGAGCAATAAACAGGAAACGGGGGCATGGAAAGGACAGACTACCTACTACCACTTGTCTTTTAATTTATTGTGCGAAGCTGGTAGATAATCAACTAGTTTCACTCGGAAAGAAAGTCAAGCCCAAATAAAGTCAGTAAGCCCAAATAAGCAACTTCACGTTCAAAACAAGCCCAAAATAACGCAACCCGCGACTCACAAGATTTACAAGCGACTTTAGAAAATAACAAGCCCAAATTCGCTTAGAATAAGCAGACTTGGCAACTATGCAGCCGTCTTGAATCAGGGTGACACAAAATGATTACTTTCTGAGAATACATTAAAGTTGGTCCATTGGCTCACAAGATATTTTGCTAACAAACAGGTTTGACGCAGTTTAAAGTTTTAGTGAATTTAGGCAATAATTGTTTAAACAAATGACATGTCTTGTTAATAAATGCGATCGTTGACGTACAAGAGAGGCGTGCAGCTTCTACTGCAGGCAGGAAATGGACATCCTGTGTTTACTGAAGTGTTTGTCTTGGCGCCGACATGTAGCTTTGTTGTTTGTTTTTTTTCAGCTTTGTGTGTGAAACTTTATGTCATGCTCCGAGAAAATGAAACAAATGCAAACAGAACCTAAAGACAGAATTTAAACTCATTCTGTGTATTTATATAAAGAACACTGATTAACATCTCATTGTGTGTTTTAGCCACAGAGTCAAATGTCACCGTGCTCTGACCCCAAATCAGACCGAAGAGTTAAACATTAAGAGAAGTCCCACATCAGCAGGCAAAAAGGCTCTGGAAGTTTCTGCTTTTTATTTTTTCTTCTATAACATTTGGAAGATAAACTGCCTTATTTGCCTGTTGCCAGCCACAGTCCGACTACTAATTTTAATATGCTGTTTGGAGCCCTGTAATAAAAAAGAGGTTTAAAAGATAAACACGGGGCTAAAGATGATATTTCATCATGTTATTAATCAGCAGGAAATCAAGACACCTTTTCAAGATTCACAATTCTTTATTTGTCATTTGCACCACAGTGGTACATGTGGTGGAACAAAATTGTGTACACAGGGTCCCAGTTACAGCCAACAAAGTATTAAAATGTAAAAGAACAACAGTAATAAGGTCTAAGATATGAACTAAGAAAAATGTTAACTAAAAATACACTAAGCACTAGTAGCATAGAAACAATACACCGAACAGCAGCACGAACATGAGTCTGTGTGAGCTGGTGAGTACGAATGAACACAATAATATGAAACAGATCAGCAGCAACATGAAACAGATCAGCAGCAACATGATGTGATTTTTCACAGTGATTATCCTGGTTAGATATTCATGAGTCTAGTGGTTCTACACTTAATGTTCCTTAACCTCCTTCCTTTGGGGAGCGGGGCAAAAAGTGTGTGCGCTGGGTGAGTGGGGTCCTTCATGATGCAGGTGGACCAGCATCTGGACATGTAAATGTCTGTGATGGTGGGGAGGCTGACTCCAACAGTCTTCTGTGCAGCCTTCACCACTCTCTGCAAAGCTTTTCTTTCTGCAGCTGTGCAGCCTCCATGCCACACGTTGATGGTGGAGCACAGGATGCTCTCCACTGCACACCTGTAGAAGGAGGTGAGGACTGAGATTCCCAGACCGGCTCGTCTCAGCCTACAGTATGCATGTAACAGTAATGAAGCAGAGATGTTTATTTATGCTGTGTAATGCAGATTTGCAGTTTGTCGTCTGCTTTAGTTCAGCACAATAATTACTTTTGATCAAACAAGCAGAACAGAGGACACATCTGATGGGACAAACAGTGGGCAGACAACAGAGCTTCATCAAACTGGAGCTTCATGTTAGCTGCATGTTGGTGAAGATCCTTCTTTAAAGTCTGAAGAATATGACAAGTGAAATGACTGATAGTTAGATATTCATGAGTCTAACAGCCACTGTTCCTCACTCTAGTGGTTTTACACTTAATGCTCCAAACCTTGTACGCGACGTCAGTATTGTGAGATTTTGTGTGATATGTTGGTGCTCGAATAAGTGTTAAGGATGACTCTCAGCTACTACCACACAGAGTTTTAGCTCCATATCTGTAAAACTGACCTATAAGGTGGCCATCTTAAATTGGGTCAAATCCAAAGCTGTAGATGTTTATTCTTTCATTACTTTTTGAGCTTTATTCAAACACATCCAGTGCCTTATGAGATTTTTTTAAATAAATACACCCACACAGGCCAAAACATTATGACCTTTAATAAAAGTTGGAGATAATGGTGACAACAGGCCACAGCAGTTTTGTTTTTATCAGTGTCACCACAAGATAGTGCTATAGCACAAGACTTTGGCTTTTAAAACTACGGATGAGTTTTTGAACAGGTGAATGTTTGTTCTGCTCTTTCTGTAAAGTTATGTTCCTCACAGTTTACGCAGCACATTCAGCAAAACTAATCCAGTGTGAATAAACTTCTCTGTACGCTTTGTAGCTCCAGGGCTGCATGAGATGAGACGAGACAAATCTTTGCTGATGGATCATCGTTTGCAGAAAAAGGATAAAGATGTGGGAAAAAACTAAAGTGTTTGCAGTACAATTAACCTTTTGTGACAGCATTCTGATTGACAAGTAAAGACGCATTCTCTTGTGGGTTTTTACAAAGAAGTGCAACCATTTATTACTTTTAATTTAAAGAGCTCACAGATGAGTCAGAGTCAAATATTCAGGATGCTTTGAGTTACCACAAACAGAGCAGCCTGTCCTCACATGATGACATCTGGTTGAGAGTACTTAGGTTTAAGAGTATATATTTATATATATATATATATATATATGATGGATGAAAATACCTCTTGGCAAGCGCAAAAGTTTCACGAGTTGATAAATCCAGATTAAGTATGTTTATGTTTACTGTAACGTTGTTATCGATTTTCTTTCTTGCACTAATTCAGGATAAAAATGCAGCAACATTAAATTTGATTAGAGTTCGTTTTTCTGCTTTAATGCATAAATAAAATAAATATTAAAGCTGGTGATTCTGTCGCAATTCCTGCTTGAGATGACTGTTTAATTTCCACCTTTATTTATCTCCAGACAAGGACCATATCACCCGCCGCCTTTCAGGCCACAGTGTTAGCATAATATCTTATGCTGAGAAATGTTGATGTTGAGCTATTTGACTCAAACTTGTAAATAGTGTTATGAACAATCTCATGCAATGCCACCAGATGTAACACTGAATGACTCTCAGCTACTACCACATGAAATTTCAGTTCGGTATCTAGAAAACTGCAGGGATTATATCCATTTTTGTGGAGGCTAATGTTGATTAGCCGTGGCAGTCATCTTGACTTGGACTGACTCTAAAAGTTTATAAATTGTAGACATACACCCCATGATTACTTTCTGAACGTTTAAATAAAATCCATGCAGAGTTTCATGAGATATTTTGCTAACAGACAGACACATGAATACAGACAAAAGCAGAAACATCATTGTCCGCCTTCACCTTTTGGCAGCGAGTGAAAAAAAGCACCTACAGAATAAAAAATTGTTTTTAAGTTTTGAAGACTAACAATCAAAATCTACATGCATGCACTCATAAAACAAAAAGTAGGCACAAAAATAACGGAGCAAAAAACTCAATTTCAAAACAACTCTTTGACTAAACCATAAAAACAACATGCAAGTATCCCAGCATATTTAGAAAGTAGCCGTGGGCAGTAACAGCTCTATTCCTTTTTGTTTTAGTTTTTTATATTTGCATCACTTCGTGTAAAATGTACGAAGAATTTTACGATGCGTGTGATGTGTAGCGGCTTGTCTGCGAGTCATGTCAGAGCCAACAGTGGCTGAGATTTCATAATCACAAGACGAAACAAACTGTCAAGCATACTTTAATAATAAAGGGTTTTTGAATTCCTTAAGTATAAAAAGTTACAGATCTCATCTTCTTTAAGCTGATAGTGCAAATTAAGATGCGGCTACACGATCAGGCTGCTGCACGTTAACAAAGGAACACTTATGTAAAAACATTCACATTTGTCTTTATTCGTATTGAACATGTGCATGTGCTTCTTTAACTCGAAAAGAAACAGAAATGTCCCACAGCACACACACTCTACACACATCCAGTTATGACTTTGTACAAAGCATTCAGCGATGTGAGCAGTTATAAAGGGGTCATGTTGTTGCATGAAGTTGAAGGGAAGATTCACATAAATGCTGATAATGCATCAAAGCTGGAAAATCCATGTAGAAAACTGCAATATTTACATGTAAGTACAGCAATAGTTGGAAAAATATACAACACAATTATTTACAAGTCTCTAACATACTCTCACGTTTTTCCACAACTTGCTGTAGTTAGTTATATAAAAGCTGTTTTCCATCCATCCATTATCTTTACCAGCTACTTCCTTTTCAGGTCGCGAAGGTCACTGGTGCCTATATCCAGCAGTCACTGTGCAAGAGGCGGGGGACACCCTGGACAGGTCTCCAGTCCACCACAGGGACACAGAGACAAACGAGACAACATTCACTCTCACTCACAATTTAGAGTCACCAATCAGCCTAACATGCATGTTTCTGGTCTGTGGGAGGAAACTGGAGTACCTGGAGAAAATGCACACATAAACAGAGAGAACATGCAAACTGCACCCAAAAAGACCCCCAGCCAGGATTTGAGCTGGCGACCTGCTCGATGAGAGGCGGCAGCTCTACCAACTGCGCCACCATGCCACCTCCAGATTATCATAATAATTCAACATAAATCAACGCCTATACTACACAAATCGAGTGCAGCATGGTGGTGAGTTGTTGCCTATCTCTGAGAAAGCTGCAGGATCGACTCCTGACATTTCTGCAGTTTGCATGTCCTCCCTGTGCATGTAAGTACTTCGGTTTCCTCCCTCAGACCAAAGACATGCATGAAGGGTTTATTGGTAATGCTAAATTGTCCCTAGGCGGGAGTGAGAGTGTCAACAGTAGTTTGTCTTGTTTGTCCCTGTGATGGACTTCCAGCGTGCAGCACACCTCTCACACAGTGGCTGCGGGAGATGGACTCCATCTCCCAGAAACCCAGAAAGGAGAAGTAGGTTAACCCTCCTGCTGCCCTTGGGTCAAAGTAACCCATGCAGTCTCGGTTTTAAAACCCAAGGACAGCAATGGGGGGGGGGGGGGGGGGGGGTGGTAAGAAAATGAATGGATGGACGATACAAATGGCTGAATACAAAGTCTGTGGGGACCATAATACACACAAACATCTCAGAGTTTCCATGTGCACAGCAGGCTCTTCTTTCTCAGAAATCGCTCCACTTTAGGACTGAAACAAATTGGTTTCTTCCGGTTTTTCAGAAACACCCTGTGAACCCACAAGAAGAAAGAACACAGTTTAGGTCTGGAAAGTATTGTATGGTTAACAAGGCAAGAGAATGACTAAAGGTAGACCGAGGAATCGGTCAGCAAGAAATCTTTATAGATAATAATAAAAAGTTGAATTTAACTGAAGCAGAGAAGCAAAACAGCCAAAAACTCTAACACAGTAAGAGGATGAAAATGTAAAAAAGGGTCAGTCCAGCCCATGCTTTTGTCTGAAAAGTTTATTTTTATGTTGATATATGCACATGTGCATGTGTATTGTGTACACATAGATAAATGAGGCGATGACTAAAAAAAAATCACTTTTTGTTGTTGGGTTATCGTCAACACTTACAACACTGCGTCGATGTCACAGGCGCCGGTGCTCTTCTGTATTTCCCATCGGTCAAGTTTCCACAGATAATTGCAATGGATGTGATCCTTGACACTGATGCAACATTTTGGGATAGCTGCAAAATGCAGGACGGTTAAATCAAAAATAGCAGAACAAATGCAACCCTGTAGGAATGCGCTTTAAAAACAAATCCACTATTTTTAGATTTTAATAAAGTGAACTGTTAATAGGTTAACAATTGCTTAAGTGCAACACTACTGTTTTCTTTGCTGTTAAAAATGCATGGTTTATGAGCTTCACTTTTCCATTAAATATCAAATATTTGAGTGTGCGCTCGTGCATGTGAATAATTCTGATAAAACAGACTCCTTTGGCTCTGACATGTGTGCAGCCCTTACCGTCTGTGGAGGTGATGGCCAAACCAGTGAGGAAGACAACCACAAACACAACCTTCAGATCCATGATGGCAGAGCAACTGTGGGGAGGACACCTCTCCTCACTGTATATATATACACAGGCAGGAAACATGCACACGCACATGCACACCCAGAGTTCACATGCCATCAAACCAGCCAGCACATTTTGACATTTCTATCGCTGCTAAAAAAAAAAAAAACTATAAAATGCCAAAGCTGTGGTGATATACAAAGTGACAAACTTTTATCAGGGCAAATCTGCTCAATTGTGAGCCAGGATCATTAAAACTGTCGGAGCAGGATTATTTCAGGACACGGACGTGCTTCAACAGGTTCGATGACAGGTCTTTAAACCGTCTCTCATCTGGTTCATGAAAGTCAAAGGAAAGCCTAACGACTGCCACACCTATATGAGCACAAAAGATGGGACAAAAGTAACCGTTGAATCGTTTAATTTGAATAGAAACTCATCCAAGGTCAGATTCTGGAGAAGAAATGAGGTGTTGTGATAGAAAAAAAATAATCTCTACTAAGCAATCTGAGTCCTGAGGTCCGTATGTGTAATTAGTGAAAGGTTTTGTATTAAATGAGTCAGTAGTGATTTTTCTTTCTGATAAACTTTTTTCATGTCAACAGTCATTTGGGAGCAATTTAGAGTATCGGAGCCAGAAAATAATGTCAGTTTGAGCTGCAAAATAAACATCTTGATGAAATTACCTAAAATAAGATGAGATAGGACCAAAAAAAAAGAAAGGATATGCGGCGATGAACTGAGCAAATACAATGAGGTGGGACAAGATCAGAAAAGATGATGTTTAATAATAAAAATGAGATGACATCAGAGGATTAGATAAGATGAGCAGAGATTAGCAAAAGAAGGTGAGATAAGGCTAGATCAGAAAAGACACGGTAAATAAGATTTTATGAGGGATATGATAAATAGATAAAAATAAATAAATAAAGGTTGAATGAATGATGATGCAATTAAATAAATTAGATGAGATAGAAATAAATGAGATAGGATGAGTTGAGATGAACAGACAATAAGGTGAGATGAGATTAGAAAATAAAGTGAAGTGAGATTAGAAAATAAGGTGAGATGAAGTGTGATCTAATGAGACGACGTGAGAAGATAAGCCAAGATCAAATAAGTTAAACATAATGAATATGATCTTGATTAATCCATTTAGAGTTAAGATTCACCGGGAGTTGCTCCCACGGATTTGACAATGATTGTGCAACTTAACTGAGCGTGCAAGCTGACACTATAGATACTGGAGGGGGGGCAGAGGGGAGGAATCACTTTCCCCAAGGGAATTATTTTAAGGCACACAACAGCACAAGTGTTGATAAAAAAAAAAAAAAAAAGGTACGTCAGAGATGTGGACATCAAAACTGACAAATGAAAACATCCGAGTTCTGAGTGTCGAGACTCGATTCATTGTGTTCTCTCATTGAAACCTTTTGAAACGATGAGATTTCCACCACTGTGCTGTTTTCATATGTACGACACTGAGACACAAAGGGATCGAGCCGTCTAACTCTCTGACATGTTGGTTTTGTAAAATCAAGAGTGAAGGATTTAAGTTGGAGCAAATACTAATCCTCTTTGGTTTGGTTTCACTTTCCTCACCCCATTATGAGGTGCCGTTTTAACTCACATGTCTAATGGCACAGGGTGAAAAAAACAAAAAAAAAACAAGTAAAGCCTTTCAGGATACAACCTTGTGAGACATTTCTCAAGATGTAATGAAACTTGAGAGCTGCTGAGACAACTGGAATGAAGGTGGTTCATCTCCAGGAGGCATGGCGGTTGGTTTAATCTTTCTAGGTAACAAAGTTGATCAGATGAATGTCAAATGTGTTTTCACCTAAAATTTGAACCTCTTATTGCAAATTATTTCCAGCTTAAGCTGTAAATGAATAGCATTTAAAGAAAATCTTATAAAAGACACATCCTGATACCAGTAATTCTTAATTATTATTATTATTATTCTTTTGGCTGCTCCCTTCTTCAGGGATCCCCACAGTGAACTAACTCGCATGAAGACTTGGTGATTGTTCCTGACGCAACCACAGCCTTCTGTGTGGAGCAGAGAGCTGCCATAGGGCACCCGGGGGTGCAGATGGTGGGAGCTGAGGGCCTTGCTCAAGGGCACAGAGTAGAGCAACAAGAGTGGAGGCAGGTGTGGGTGCGTCACCTTTTCCCACCCACATTTTGATGTTGTTGGTCCGGGGAGATGAACCAGCGCCCTTCCGATCACAGGTCCACCCTTAACCTCTGCACCACCACTCCCCCGCACTAGTAATTCTCAATTGTTTTGTAATTATATTCATGGGCTTGTGCAGATTATAATTTTACTATTGACATGAGGATACAATTAAAAGATAAAACATCATAAATTGTGTACAAGATACTGAACCTATCCAAAACAAAAAAAACAGTGATTATTATTTTTTTTAATTTTAAGTAACACAGACAGGAAGTCATTGAAAACCTACAACTGACAAAATCAGGCAGGTGTGTATCTGTTCCTTGTTGGATGGGAACCTACGCAATCTGCCACAAACACCATCTCTCTGTCATCACACACATGCACACACGCACGCACGCACACACACACACACACAACTAAACACAGGTTACAATACACTGCATTTCATTTATAAAGCTGAACATGTTGGCACACAGCAGTGCAAGCTGTTATTTAACAAAAGCTTAATGTGTGTTGGAATACTACCAATAAATTCCAGACTAAATTACAACTATTATATGAGCAGATTTTCTCAGGTGTTGTTCTTTGCTTAGGTTGAAACTACATCCTTTTTTTTTACTCATAAGCAAACAAGGTGTGACTGATATGAAGCAACATTTTTCATCAAAACAAACCACACAGGCAGTTTTTAGCAGCGGTATAGTCAGTATTTTTCTTTTATTTTTAATGCAAAATCATGGTTTTGCTACACAAGCACTGTAAGTCAGCCGTTTGCTGTCAGTGGCAAGCTTTATTTATGGTCCTTCATTTATTTACACAGTTTTGATAAAACTCTCATTAGAATTTGAGCTCAGTATTGTTTACAGTATGTGCATCACTATGTACAGTTTTAAAGTGGGAGCAGACAGGAAATTTAACATTAATAATGTGATATTTATCTCCTAATATGTCAAATAAAAACTTCAAAAAGAAGCACAGAGTTTAAAGACAACAAACTTTGACTTGGTTCAGAGTTCAGAACATGAGGCTCAGAAGCGGCTCCAGGCTGTGAGGTGGATCAGTACTCGGTCGGTCCTCTGCTGGTTGCATGAAGGAGACGAAGCAGCAGCTCTGTGGGCGAGCTCCTCGCAGAACTATGGGCCGAATCTATGGCCTCCACCTCGCCGAGGCATCCGGAGTCCACCGCACAGCCCTCTGAGAAGCAGAAAAACACCGATCAGCTCACAATGGTTGCAAATGAATACCCTGAAGACGATAAACACCAGGAGAGAACAACTGTACCGGAGTCACAGCAGAGTCCTGAAGCAGCGCAGCGTCCCCCCTCTGATCCACAGGGTCGTCCTCCTGCCTGGCACGGAGTGAGCAGGTAGTTCTCCTCCTCACAGTGAACTGACGCTGCCGAGCCCAGCAGGCAGCCCAGACCCTCCCCACAGCAGATACTGGGGCCGAAGCAGCGGCCCCTGTCTCCGGGGCCACAAGACATGCACTGAAGGAAAACAAATGAAGCGTTGAGAATCATCAGCAGGTGAAATACAAACGGTAAATAACTATTCCTTTCCTTCCTATGTTCACACACAAACAGTGCTCTTACAAACCTAAACCATTTTCTATAAGAACAGATACTGTAAATAAATCAACTAATGAATTTATCTAAATATTGATTATAGACTTTTTATTAGAAAGTGCACGCATGTGAGGGTAAGTACTGTAGAGGTGTTATGCACAGCATGAATAAGATTGCATTGACAAACTGATACATGTGATATTACAATTAATTTAACTATTGTTAATCATTGCATGGGGAAAACCATTTTCACATATTGGACAAAAAGTATAATAATGCATTTTAATATCTTTGCCTATTTATTGTCACGATAGTAAAGATTTAGTGTGTACTGTAACTAACAAATAATTTACCACTTTCCGTTTAAAATTTGGAATATTTGAAATAAAATTAATTTATTTAAATCCGCCTGGTCCTTGAGCGCCACTATCCTGCAGGTTTGAGACGTTTCTCTGCTCTGTCTTTGAATCAGTCTGTGATTAAATTAACAGGTTTTTGCAGAACATGAAGAGGTAATCCAAACAGTGAATCAGGAGCGTTGCAGCAGGAAATCTAGAAATACATGGATACCCAGATCTACAATATACAAAATATTCACATAATGACACACATATTATATATACATCATTAAAAAGCAGATTTTTTTTGGCCATTTAGTAAAAAGACAATAAAAAAAAAAGACTTTTTGCAGTGATATTTGTTTTCTTTTTAATCTAATTTAAATAATAATAATAATAAACTTTATTTCTATAGCACCTTCCAACAACGCCTTGCATTGACCAAGGTGCTTCACAAGACAAAACAAGATTAAAAACAGGACACAATAAATTAGTGCAAATTAAAAAACACAGCGAGAATAAAAGAAGGTAATTTAAACTCAAACCTTATGTCTAAAAACTGATTTCTTATTTTGTAGGATTGTTCTTTATTTTAATTCATGCATCATATTTAAAGATAAGAATTAAATTAATCAAATACTTTTAATTTTAAAAGGAAAAACAATTCGGGGTGGGGGGGTGGGGGGGGGTGCCCTCACCTGTCTGGTGGCCGCCTCTGGCAGCGCGCGCTTCCCGCCCCGAGGGCAGTTCTGGATGTAGCACGCAGAGGAGAGCGCGAGGAGCAGTCCCAGGACGGACACGTGAAGCAGGGAGAGAGGCATGGCTGCTGGTTCCGGTGTGCGGACGCGTCTGACTCACGGCACCGGTCACTTCTCACTTTTTAAACAGGCGGACGGACAAAAGCGGACCGAGGCCTGACGTCAGCGCGCGCGCGCACACCCCGCACCATCACCGAAGGCCACCTTGCGTGGCGCGTGCGCGCCAGGTCGCAGCAGATGTGTCTCTGCATCGGATGTGCGCCATCTAACAAATCTGCAGCAGAAGATGCCTCTTCTGTATTCAGCCGCACTCATTTCTAATCTGCTCTTTCTTCTGAATAATCTCTGAGGTGACAATAAATCTGACACAACATGAGCAACTAATTAGAGTTTCAGAACAACTAATTAAGGTTTACAAAAATAAGAAGCTGAAATGAGGATGTTATGATGCTCATGCACATATTTAGTGGTCAATTCCTGCCAGATGTTTCTGACTTTTGTTGTGGTTTCATGACAGCCCCAGGGTCACACAAATTACACCCCCTGACTTATTGATGAGCACGACAGCATTAGCATTTCCAACAAACATATTTTAACTGATTATGTTGTTCCGCCGCATGCTTTGAGCTCTATTTGTTCCATTAGTTGTGATGATGATTATGAAGGAAATGGCAAAACTGAGCATCAACAAAAGCTTTAATACATAATGCGCTCTGGAGAACATATGACATAAAAAGTTTCAAAGGAACTACTTTTACACAATATTTTACTTTTATTGATGGTAAATGAATCCTTGAGTTAAAATTTTATGAACTTTGTGAACAATGCCATCTTCCTCCCCGTGTTTGTTTACCTACGGCAAGGGTCTGAAACGTTTATGATTTATAAAAAAGAAGAAGCATTTTTACAACTCCATTTATTAAATTAAATGTGTCCAGAGCTGCAACAACCTGCTACAACTGTGATCATCAACTGGTGGCCCATGGGCCACTTTAGTTTTTTTTGGAGGAAACTTTTGTGTAGTGATGACATTACAAAATTATTATGTGAAAAATATCTAATGACTTTTAACATTTACTGATATTTTTACAGTTTAATACAAATGAAAAGACCAGATTTTTGTAAGGTGGTGGTGGGAGTACTTAAAAAAAATCTATAAACTGTGCAGACCTACGTGATTTTTTTTAATTGTGGGAAAAACAATTAAGTATAGAAATAAAGCGAAAAAGAGTTAACGAGTATTTGCAAAATAAATGACAGGAAAACGTCTAAAACGAGCACATTTTTGTTGTTTGTATAAAATTCAGTTTTATGTCAGTTTTGGTCAGAGTTGCTGCAGAGGGACTAAAGAGCCACATGTGGCTCCAGAGCCGCAGGTTGCGGACCCTGATCTAGGCTGAAAAACAGCAACATTGTAATCTGTGGAGTTGTTGTTGTTCAGGATCAAGTTTGACCGTTCGGATGCACTGGCATTTACGCTCAGATTCACCGAGTAAAGTTTGCAGATTCAAGTGTTTTGTTTACATTGAGTGTGGACGCACATTTCAGAACTGTATGGAAATCTACTGGATTACTTGTTCAAATAAATTAGAAATAGTTCACGGTAGCTTTTTTATGTTTGATTTCATAGTTTTCAATGAGTCCCGTTTGGTCCTTTTGTGCAGCTTCCAGCTGCAACAGTGAAGCTGATGTCTTCATTTCACATGCAGAAACACTGATTCCTATTTTTGAGCGGATACAGGATCACGACCTTGGTGATGTTGTCATGGAAACCAATTCAGAAATGATGCTGTTTATGATTGTGACACCCAGTAAATTTAGCATCCATGACTTCAGCCTGTTTTAACCTTCTGCAGACAAGTCAAACTTAAAAAAAAAAAAAACTAAATAAATTAGTATAAAGAATTCATTTTTTTTTAAAAACAGAGGCTTCTATCTATAAGTTCAAATCCTATTTTAAGATCTTTTTATGTCTGACAGGGTTGATCCGCACGTTTCTGTATTGTAACTCTCAGTATGTTGGTGTTAGACCTGTCACGACTTGGTCCAGAATAATGCGACACTTCTAATATGAACAATCATATCTCTGCCGTACTGTTCATTTAAGAAATAACTTTAGCTGTGGACCTACAGGGCAGCCAGTTCCTGCAGCCTTTTAATGTTGACTTCCAAATCAGAGCAAATGATCTTTTGGGTTTAGTTGTCCTGAGGTGGTAAACGTTGGTTACGTACTGTAACCCCAGATTCTATGAATATAAGCGTAGCCCTTTAAGGCCTTCGCTTTAGTGGGTTTATCCCGTTATGCAGAGCATAAGCACTGAAAAAAAAAATTAGTCCACGCCCACCTGCTGTGTGGGCCCTACCCGGTCCGTATAAATTACGTTAAGAGCGGGAAATCGGCTCCCAAAATAGCTTTTTTCTTCAGCCATTTAGGAGCCAGTGAGGCCCGACGCTTAAAGGGCTACGCTTATATTCATAGAATCTGGGGTTACAGTACGTAACCAACGTTCTATGTCATATAAGCTTCGCCCTTTAAGGCCTTCGCTTTAGTGGGTAAAGGGCGAAGCCGATGTGGTCCTCGCCTCACTGGGTCCATTCGAACACAGTAAGAAGCGGAAGCTTGCCCAAAAAACGTCTTGTCACTCAGCTCCCCATGTGCATAACTACGCATCGCGTAATTATGTGCCATGCACAGACGCATGTTGTGTAACTATGCGTTCTGACAAAGCATGAATACCCCGGAAAACTTTCAACGGGAAGAAGAAGTTGAAAAGAGGGGGGGGGGGGGGGGGCATGAACCAACTGGTTCATGGCTGAACAGTATAAACAGATTAATGTCCATAAATTGATTATAACTCAATTGAACTGATTGGTAACAATAATCATGAACTGATTAGTGACAATATAACCAAAATCACAGACACGACTTGTGACTGATAACAACATCTCACACTGTAATGCATGCAGACAGAAGTGAGCTTAAACAGAGTTCCATGAGAACAACAATATTCATTCTGTTAGAGCACTAAGGACAGAATGTGTCATGGAACGAGCCGTTACATCACGTAGGTAAAAGCGAATAAATGAGCAGGGTGTTGACCATGCAGCCGCAGTGCAAATGTCCTGCATTGACAAACCATTATGCAGAGCAGTCGAAGATGCGATACCCCTGGTCGAGTGTGCTTAGAGGTTGACAGGAGGCTCTAAATCTGATGCTCTGTAGGCTTCAGAAAAGGCCTCACACAGCCAGTGTGATAAGCGCTGGATGGATAACGGCGACCTGTAGAAACATCTCTATAATGCACAAACCATTGTTGAGTTTGAAACGCATTGCAGCTGTGTGCGTTATGTAACACGTCAAACGCCCGCACCGGGCAGAGAAGATGAAAAGATGCTTCCTCTTCTGATCTGTGGGGGGGAAAAAAACCCCTCCAACGATATCACTCTTGATTTAAAAGAGCTCGTGATGTTTTAGGCATAAAAGCTGGGTTGGTCTTAAATCAGCTGAGCTGCCCGTCAGCCTAATTCTAAGGCATGACGAAGCAACAGAGAGGGCAGATAAATATTTACCCTCTTAGCGGGTGTTAAAACCAGCAACAGGGCTGTTAAAAGAGACAAGAATTTAAATGAAACCTGATCCAGAGGCTCAATTGAAGCTTTGATCAGGGCTCGCAGGACCAGCGTTAAACCCACTGTGGAAAACAAGTGGGCGTGAAAACAGGCCTACATCTCTGTACACCTTTTAGAAACCGCTTCATCAGCGGGTGATAAAAGCTGTTCTGACTCCAAACCCTTTGTGGCAGGAAGAGATGGCTGCAATCGTACGTTAAAGCGTACTGAAAGCCAACTCCCTATCCATCAGCTGTTGTAGAAAAACAACACGCCGCTTAAAAGGCATGAGGTGGTCTCTAAACCTTCTCTGTGCACCAGCGCTGAAAAGCCGTCCCCTTGATGTGTACAGAACTGTGGTAGATGCAGCACGTGAATCTTGAATTGTGCACACTATCTCCTGAGGGAGACCCATCCTCTAAGTGGAACCGCTCAGCGGTCAGACCCACCGGTGTTGACCTATTTCTGGGTAACTCTTGGTCGCTCCTCCTGCCTGAAGGAGAGCATCCTTCCTCCATGACAGTTCCACGGCGACCCAACAACAGACGTTGCAGGCCTGTGAACCATAGTGCGTTCACACGCCGGGAGCCACCAAGGAGGGCTGTCAATCCCTCCTCTTGAACTCGGTTCATGGACCGTAAAAAACAGAGGAGGTGGGGGGGAAAGAAACGCGTAAAAAGCGTTTTGGGCCACCGACTGTGAGCAAATGCGTCCCCCCCCAGCGATGGATCGTCTCGCGGGCTCAGGGAAAACCGTAGTTGACATTGAGCGTTCTTCTCGCATCGCAAACAGGTCCACAGCTGCTTTGCCAACTTCTGCTGCGTCTGAAAAACATCAGATCCGGATGGAGGATCCGGTCCACATAACGTGGGCCGCCCTTGGACGTCACATCAGCCCCTCTGTTCAGAACATCGGATATGTAAACTGCTCTAATAAAAGCAGGTTTGATGAACCCAACTCAGTAGCTTCCGCGCAATGTGTAACATCTGGGCTGAACGCACACCCCCCTGGCGGTTTATGTACGCAGCAGTCACCATGTTGTCTGTGTGAATCAACACGTGTTGATTCTGTAGCACGGGAGCAAAAAGTTGAATCACATTCAGCACTGTGCGACACTCCAAAACATTGATGTGGGCTGATGTGCGGTGGGGCCACAGCGCCCCTACTGCTTGAGATAGGCATGTTCCCCACCCCAACCTGACAGAGACGCGTCCGTGAAGACTGACACGTGACGTGGATCTGCTGACGGGGACTCCCTCTGACAGAGCCAGGGTGTTTCCCCAGTGTCGGAGGTCTGCTCCCATGGAGGGAGGGACAGTGATCATCCGTCTCTTTTGTTTTACTGGATCCACACGCAGACGCGTAAACCACCTCTGGAGGCGTCTCATGTGTAACAAACCCAGCGGGACCACTGTGTGAGCTGATGACGTCATTCCCAACAGCTTCATGACGGA